CTCCTTGCAGAACGGGCAGGGTGGAAGGAGACTTCACATGCTCTCCTAGTCCCCAGACCAATCAGGGCTTGAGGGTGGGGAGAACGCGTGAAGTCTCTTTCTACCTTGCAAGGGGCTCAGCAGTTAAAGTCAACTGCCAGCTGCTGCTCAGCTGGTAATTGACTCTAGAGCCTTCACTTCCTTGCAGGGCAGGGACAGGGAGTGAGAAACTTCACATGCTCCCTCTCCCCAGGCCCTGCTTGACCTGGGGGCAGCAGGAGGAAGCACGCGAAGTCTCTGCCCCCTGCCAGAGGGTTCTTGGGGGGAGGGGAAGGCAAAGACTTTGAGCACTCCCCCACCCCCCAGACCAATCAGGGTCTGTGGGTGGGAAACAGGGCAGGCTCTATGGAGCGCAGAGTCCGATTCCGGGGGTGGAGCCACACAAGCGTGGGGCCCCAGGCGGTACAGCACATGCGTCGCATGCCCTGGATGTCACGACGCATGCGCAGTGCGCCCAGGAGTACAAGGCATGCGTGGCCCCCCCGGGTGTATGGTGCATGCGCCATGCACCCGGGACGTCACAGTACATACTCCATGTGCCCAGGGGCCCTGCACAAGCGGCGTGCTCCCGGTGCACTGCGCATGCACCGTGCTCCCGGCGCATGGGGGGGGTGTGCCTCCCCTGTTTCTAATGTTCGCCAACAGCTCTCTTGCTGGCCACTTTTGTGGCCAGAGAGCCTGTTAATCTTGCACTGAGCCTGGCTATGCTCTCCATGGCCCCTAGTCACTCGTACCGTTCTCCACTCCCACCCACCACATCCCCTGGAAGGGCCTCTCTGTCCGAACTCTCTTGGTCCATCCCACCTGAACACACTCTTCTAGCATCAGCCAGCTCTCCCCACCACCCACCACCACACCCTTCCTGCTTCTGCCCAACCTTTCAATGAAATAGTTTGTTCGCATGCAGAGTTCGGAGCCTCTCAGTCACTCGTACCGTTCTCCACTCCCACCCACCACATCCCCTGGAAGGGCCTCTCTGTCCGAACTCTCTTGGTCCATCCCACCTGAACACACTCTTCTAGCATCAGCCAGCTCTCCCCACCACCCACCACCACACCCTTCCTGCTTCTGCCCAACCTTTCAATGAAATAGTTTGTTCGCATGCAGAGTTCGGAGCCTCTCCTGGCAGCGAGTGCAGGGAAAGGTTATGCTCTGCAGGCTTGTGAACCTCAAGTGTAACCAAAAACAATCAGTAAAACGGGTCCCAACTCCAAACGAATTTCCTGGGCACCCAGCTCGCTAGCAAGGGACAGGGGCTGAGTTATGTGTGAGCAGCCAGGTAGAGAGAGAATTCCCCGCTCTCCGCACCCAGTTACTGCCCATCTTTGCAGGGCGGCAGCGCTCCAGATGTGTCCTTCCAGCTGGCAAGTGAGCTCCCGTGTGGGGCTGGGACATGCTCTGTGCGGACAAGGCGCAATGGAGAGACACGGAACCATGGGGGAGCTCTCAGCTTTAAATGCTAGCGCCCTCCTGGGAAGCAGATTTGGGTGACCTGGGAAGAGAGCCCGGTGGGGTAATCTGGGCAGCTAGTCCTTATCCCGGAGCTCTATGGCCCACTGCCCACTCCGCTCCTTCTGTCCCTACTTTCACCTCCTTCCTCCATTCCTACAAGGAAGGGAGGGAAGAGGCTGCCATCCTCCTGCCTCTATTCCCACACCCACCCATCCTTCCCTAACTCCTCCCCTTCCACACCCCACACTGCCCATCCCCCTGCCTCCATTCCTATATCCTCACCCTCACCAGCCCATACCCCTGCCTCCATTCCTATATCCCCCTCACCACACCACCCATCTTTACATACACCCTATCCTCCTTCCTCTCTCCCTACACACACCTTGCCCCCTTCCACAAATTTGTCAAGCTATGCACTTGGGCTCAGCACAGCCTTTCCAAATGGGCCCATTGGGGTTTGTGAAACACCAAGTGAATGGCCTTTGGGGCAGCTTTGCTCCGTGGTAAGCCCAGGGAGCCTGGAGCACAGAGTGGCTGCTCTGGAGAGCAAGGAAAGCAGGTGTGGCCAAGATCTGCCCAGCTTGTGGTAAGCCTGGGAGAGCCCGCCTGAGCCAGGGACCTGGCCCCAATGCTCAAGTAGGTGCACCCATTCTCTACAAAACTGGGGTGCAGTGCTGTGAGCCGGGTCCAGAGGTAGGTGGGGCTCCAGCTGGAAGGGGACAATGCTTTGTAGACAGAGGGGCAGACAAGGTGCCTTTGAGGGCAAGGCCTTCCCAAGGGGCCCCAAGGGGCTCTGAGGCTCAGTGGGGGCAAACCCCCCAAAAGGCTGCACCTCCACAGCATTCACTGGAGCCTGGGTGTCTTGGGAGGGGAGCTGTCAGTCAGGGGCCCTGCCCACTCCCTGGGTATCTTTGGGCAGGAGACCCCACTCCATCTATGGACCCCCAACCCCTCACTGCAGGAAAAAATTAGTATGGGTTCTTTTGAAAAAGAGTTGTTTTTTTTTTTTTCAAAAAAACTACGTCTAGACTGCGCTTTCACTTTTGAAAAACCTTTTTTCAAAAAAGTGCTTGGACACAAATATGCAAATGAAGCATGGGATATTTAAATCTGTGCTTCATTTGCACTTTCGATTTGCCTCATTACATTCCTCTTTCAAAAGAGGAGTGTAGTCTAGACATAGCCCTAATGACTTACCTCTTACAGCACTGTAGTTCCTCTTGTGCAATAAGAAGTTGTGCTTTCAGCTGGTTACGTTCCTGCAGCACATCTCTCAACTCCTGCAATGTGAACCGTGGACGATTTGGATCTGTGAGATCTATTATCATTTTGTCTGGTCCAAGGCTCAGCTGCAGAACAAAAGGCAACAGTTTAAAAAACAAACCTTAATGACACAACATGCCCAGTTACTCCATAGCTGAAGTCAGGCTGTACCTTCAATAAGGAATCAGTTTGACCAATCAATAGTAATTTCCATACTTTATAGACATTACAATCTTGATCTCTCATACCATTTAGGTGCGAAATAATTATTATTTGTATTTCAGGAGCACTGATGGGCCCCATTGTCCCAGGTACTATATACACATAGTAAGATGGTTCCCTCCTCAAAGAGTTTACTTATAAACTGACTAAGGAAGTGCTATTATCCCCCAATGTCACAGACAGGAACTGGAAATCCAGAGATTTGCCTGAAATCTGAGCAAAGCCAAGAACTGAACCTAGCTTTCCTGAGTTCCAGCTTTAGGCTTAAACCACAAGGCCATTCTGCCTCACACAGTTAATTTGCACAATCCCAGTGATTTCAACATGTGTACAAATGAATAAATAGGTACTTTTGTATGAGCAATTGTATGTAAAAGATAGTTGTGCAATATACATTTACAATACAAGAAAATCAGGGCCTGGATGTTTGAACTTCTCTCTTTCAGCATGACTCTATCCAGTCAATCTATACCCTGTCCTTTCAATAAAAGACAGTACAGAGCTGGTCTCTGCTTGGGCAAGGGGTTCAGAATTTTCAAGAGGGATGAAAAGTAAACTTCTCTAATAGGACCTGTTTGCACAATGACTTGAATCATGCTAGCAAAAGTGCTTTTTAGTGTATTGTAGTAAAACAGTCTCCCATTGGTAGAAATGTTTGATGCTGAGAATTCTACTAGCCTCAAACTAAGCTATAGCCTACCATCATGAGTTTGACCTCAGTCATTTCTCACCAGAGCTGTAACTCTGTCAATGTGTTAAGTGTGGGCCAAATACATGGGGATTCTCCATCAGAATCTTTACTAGTGTAAAATGTAGTTAATAAAGCCCATGCCTCCATATTGTTTCCCAAAGTGTATTTTGCACAATAAGCAGTTCAGTTTCTAAGGTTGCACCTGTCTTTATACCTACCTGCTCTGCCTTCCCTGCTGGGCACTCTTTTCTGAGTCCTTCCACCTCCTTTTTGAGATTGTCTCTCTCCATCTTCAGCTCCTCCACTGTCAAGTTGCTCTCATTCACCAAAGCTTCCAACATTTCCAAAATCCTCACTATCTTAAACTGCAATTGGGCAGTCCTACTAGGTTCACTTCTTATTGTCAGAAGCTCCCTGCCCACCACATAGGACATGTCATAGACATCCTCTGCTGTCAGATGGAAGGGGCTCTTCTCAAAGGCGTTTTCAGGGCCAGGCTCCTCCTTCTCTTCTCCCTCCTCTTGGTGCTGATGATCCTGCATGTGAAGCCCCCCGGGGACACCCAATACTATTGATTCCCTCCTTTAGGGGAAGGGCTGGTTTCAGACCTGCTGCTGCAATTACAGCCTGCTTTTGGTTGCTATCTCCAACGACTTCCGTCCTCCCCAGTGAAACTTCTTAGCTTGTGACCAAGTCCTTTCCTCTGCCTCCAGGGGAAGCTCCTGGGGGCCAATCAGATAACCAGGTCAGCAGGCTGGGGTGGGGCTAAAAGAGTAACAATGTAGCCATGTGGGAAGTGAGGCTGGTTCAGGGGAGTGGGCTGAAACGCGGCAGCTTCCCGGCTAGCTGAGTGGCCTCTGCTCTGGTTCCTATGCAGTGTCCAGGAGAAAGATTGGCTGCAGGGTGATTGATAGCCTGTGGGCGCGTGTGTTTTATTGCTGGTTGTTCAGGGAAATCTACCCCGGCAGACCAAATGTTTTGTTGCGAGGGGCAGGGCTGGGGCTCGCGTGGGAGTGGTCTGTGCTGAAGTAGAGGGGCAGATATACAGGGAGGGCAGCTGGACATCTCCCGCTGCATTGTGCAAGAGCTATGATAAAACAAGCATTGGCCAAGGCAGAGCGTCGGTTCGCTCTGGATAACAGGGCAGTTTCCATGGGGAAGCCTCAGGGTGGGGAAGGATGTAATGGGCCTCACAGATCCAGACACTCAGGTCAGCCTCCAAAAGCTTGAGCCGGGGTTGCCATGGGATTTAAAGGCCTCCCCTGTCGCTGCTCCGCATCGTGCATACAACCCGATTCGGATTTACAAGTAAAATCCGCTCTCCGGATTCCTAGCTCTGCGGCAGCTCCGCTAGTTCAAGCCCCCGCGTCTGGAAAAAGGTCCTGGCAACTGCCAGGCATGACGGCTCCTCTGCAGTGCAAAGCTCTTATTGTCTCAGCCATTGCACGGTGGAATGAAGCATCTGGGCTAGTTCTGCGAGGAAGGACTCTGCCCGGGAATCCCTGTGCTGATGGGACGTTACAAGTGTAGACAGCCCCTCCTCGACTCAGCAAGGCAAACGCATTTGCTTTTCTGGAGCGCCACGTTCGGACTGGCTTTGTGCCCGGCCGGGGCGCCGCGTAGCTTGCACAGAGCGCGCTGCCCGCCGGGGGGGGGGTGCAAGCCACATACCCAC